ATATGAGAGAATGTTTTGTTTGTCTAATCGACGGCTCGTTTGAAGCCAGAGTTGTTTGAACTTGTTTCAGTCGACTTGATTCTAGACAGTAGTCGAAGGAGTACTATGAAGTATACACCAGGCGTAGTCCGTAAGGTATCTTGTGAGAATTCTGTCGGTACACATCGAGTATCAGCTTGCAAAGATGGCTCCTCTCTGTTTCTTGAAAGCCTGTATACCGTACTGGCAATATATGTTGCCGCGTAACGCGTAACGCAGGGGGTGCGGCGTAACGCGCGACCAGGCTAGTGCGACAAATTTTCGTTGAGTTCGTAACGCGCGTCCGGCGGGGTGCGGCGATCTTTTCACTCAAAATGATGCGGCAAAAGCAAAAAAATGATGCGGCAATAGCAAAAAAAGTGATGCGGCAATAGCAAAAAAAGGACTGCGGCAATATAGAAACCTGTGTAACGGCTCCTGTGCGACTTTGCATGTAACGCCCTGCGTGCGGCAAACATGTGCCAATGTAACGCTTCATGGCCTCACTGCGGCAACATATATTGCCAGTACGGTTGGACTGTGGCTCCAGCGATTCCCTTCTCAGAGCAGGTACCATACCCAATACGGTCAATGCATATTGGACAGACCTGTGTGCACAACAGAAATAGTGGAGAGAAATCTCTCAGCTCATGAACACATCAGTGAAGTTTAAACTGCCGTTGTTTGTGGCCATCAGTATAAACCTATCGACTATAAGAATAATGTGCAAAAAAACCCTCTATAACTACAGCTGGGGCCATGGAATTATAAAGCATCTAACTTAGGGAACTGCCAATTCTGGTCGGAGTTGCGTTCGAGGCCTGCAATTCATGATGGCTATCGTATGTTGCATTGACCAGAGATCATATAAAACGTCCATGCCACATTGAAACACGCACTACTTTCGAGTACTTTGGTATCCCCCACCAAATGGGCATTCGTTCCCGGGTGGCAGGCGTCACCCTTCGCTATACCTGGATCAGATTTCATTGACCCCAACTGTCATGAAGAATCATTTTTACTTTGACTGGATTTCAGTACAAGTTGTAGAACTGCACAATAAATTTTGTTGTATTTGGGCAACCATTTCTCTACAAACGCTCTATTCGGAAAATATTTTTTTAATAAAATACATGTCCAAATTCCACATCTACCCAAATCGGAATACTTGATCACGTATTTAGTCCTACACGGAATGTTTAGAAAATGCCAGGGAATAGGAATTTGCTAACGAGAACTCCAGGCCAGGGTACTAGCACACGAACAAAACAAGATAAAACCTCACCAGTATATTTGTAGTAATTCATGTCGGTGTAATATTCACGATAAGCAACGAGGCACCCTCCGATTTGGTCAAGCTGCTTTGAAGTCTGGTTGTTCAGGTGATACAAACGGGCTCCCCGTTGTTACTTCCAGCAGCTTCACTCTCCCTGCGACAGCGGCTATCAGCCTCTCTCTCCATCGTCGACGATTATCACAGATTCAACATTCTACATTTATCAGCACTGCACTGGGTGAATATGTCTCGAGACGAATTTAGCGGATCAACAACGCTTTGATGGAGATAAATTCTCCTCTGGAGGACCTTCAGGGTACCTGGAAGGGTATAGAAGACGGGATCGCTCACGGCGTTGGGAGAACATAGCAAACAACCTCTTCTTCGATTGAAAATTGGCCAAAAAGTGTGTGAAATGTATGTGCGCAGATGCATTTCCACTGGCAAGCTAATCCCTCATTACGTCATCAGCGCTCGCTCGGCCGAAATTCAAAAGTCGTCTTCCTGCTCGACTCGATCGCTTCTGGAGACTCGTTCTTGTTCGAGGGGTCTTCTCTTTCACCTACCTTTGTCTTGGCATCGAAAACTCGGCGTCGAAAATGAAGCCGGAGTGCCCCTTAGCCTAGGGCTTGAAAGTGATGACGTCAAAAACGGCCTGGGAGTAGTAAATTGACATCAGATTTCTATTTTGGATCCACTAAGGTGTGACTTTGCTATTGCCTCAGTATGTGGGTGCATAGCAACCCACTCATGCCGTATGCAGGTGCAACTTTTACTTCGCCACCAGTTAAGTAGTTGTCACCCCGCCCCCACTAGCCAAATCAGTCAGTTGACACTGGCAACATCACCTTGCTGTGAGTGAGACCGCTTGAAATGTGCTTGGATCCATACAAAAACTGGATCCAGGTGGATCCAGTTTTCGAATTTTTCAAATTGTTGCTATGCCATTGCTATGGAGTGACGTAGCACAGGCCAGGCAGGCCACCAGGACGCGTGGTAGATCTACACGTACACGTAGAGTCTACATGGTCTACGTACGTTACGTGGTGTGCAACTCTACCTGGCACTGAGTTACAGTGAGTAGGGTGCAGATATCGCAGCTCCTCAGAATCACTGCTGATTGGTGTCAGATATTCTCCATCTCTACGCACTCTCGCGTCCGTAGCAACCCCCACCACCTACTACTAGTACATGACTAGCAATGGCTTTCCCCATAGCAGTGGTGTTTTCACCATACAATAAATAATAATAATAATAATACACACTTGAGAGGGACGAAAAGCGTTTCTTCTGTAACTCTGAGTTTCACGGTTTTAACTGATCATCAGACAGCATCTTGCTACAATAATAATAATAAGATGGTTGCTTTTTGAGTTTTGCGCGCTACCGTCTTACGACAGTCCTCCCGCCGCACGGACCGACATCCTTGCAACAAAACTGGACCATGACAAGCAGTTTTACAGCAGCACAATGGCATGACCACTTCGCCCCGTTCTGAACTTCACCAGTTCTTATTGACCTTGTCCGGAGTTGTGGCCAACTCAGCTACATTGTACATTGTCACTTTTCAACAGTACAGTAAGACCTGTCAAAGCGACCACTCGGATAAGGCGACCACCTGTCCAAGAAGACCACTGAAACCAGGATTGAGGGATGTAAATGCTATTTTCAGTCAAATGACCCTGGATAAGGAGACCACCTGGTAACAGAGACCAGGTTTTGAAGGTCCCCCCTTGAGCGGCGGTCGTCCCTTTGACTTGGTTTCACTGTGCGTACTGTTCCTGCCGACAAGTCCATTTTATTTATTTATTTATTTATTTATTTATTTATTTATTTATTTATTTATTTATTTATTTATTTATTTATTTATTTATTACAGCATCTCATAGCACAGTGAGAACACCGGCCAATACAAAGAGAGAGGGTGTTAGCCAACCACGGCAAGGAAGGGAGAAGGGGAGGAGAAAAAAAGAAAAAAAAGAACCGGCATGGATAAGTAGTGATTGCAACAAAATGAGAAACACAAAATCAAAGTCAAGGCGCGACAAGGCTCTTAAAAAGGCGGAGGGAAGAAAGGTCCTTAGCTTCTTGGGGAAGTGCCAGCCACGCAGAGTACGCAGCGTGACAGTCACTCTGACTATTGACTGCTGACTTTTGTTGGGTCTGAACTTCTGAAGTGAGTACAGACTGACCTGCCGGAGAGTCTGAGACTGTAGTAGACTACTAGTGCTAGCGCTTGATCGTAGTGTCATGCTGGACAGGACTAATAGAGAATAAGAAATATTTTTTAACGTTATTGATCTCGGAGAGCATGCAAATGCATGTGGTCGACACGGAGACAATAATTTTTTTTAAATAGCAATAGCAAGAACAAAATCTGCCGTCATCGCCACACAAGAACGAAGTCATGAACGTTTTCCAAAATCGATTTTCATGTCACATTCATCAGCGGAATGTCGTAACTGAAGAATATCCGTGCTGAGCCTGAGGAACGATTAAAAGTATACGTTCATTAACGTGTTACGAGAACAAAACAAAGTGCTAAAATAGAGTAAAGAAAGGTGAGACAATAGAAGTGAAGTGTGAACTGAGTGCAAAGGCGGTGAGACACTAATTGTAACGCTAGAACTGTGCATTGCCATTGAGACAAACAATCATAATGTGCACCTACGAAAACAATCTTACGCAACTACATGACTACATGACTACATGTGACTGAGAGTTGTAACAAAGCTTCCAAACTCTCTCTTGTGTACAATGTGACTGAGAGTTGTAACAAAGCTTCCAAACTCTCTCTTGTGTACAATGTGACTGAGAGTTGTAACAAAGCTTCCAAACTCTCTCTTGTGTCCAATGTGACTGAGAGTTGTAACAAAGCTTCCAAACTCTCTCTTGTGTCCAATGTGACTGAGAGTTGTAACAAAGCTTCCAAACTCTCTCTTGTGTACAATGTACAATGTAACATGGTTCTGCTGCTTCAAAGATCAGGTTTGTACAAACGGATACAAACTGCCTCAAGCACTAGCATATGCTGCACGAAACACAACAGAAAAACTAAAATCATCTTAAACCTGCAGACTCTTTATTATAATTATAGGGTGAGACAACGAAATGAAGAAAAACAACAGACTTCTTGACGCGTAAACAAGCGCTTTTCTTCTGCTGAATCAGTGAATGGCTGAATCGAGCTCGGTGGTGTGACCGCGGCCCGATTCTTCCTCTCCATCAACCGCAACCTCGTCCTCCGGATCCGCCTCATCTCCCAACTCATCTTCAGTGTTATCTTCTGTGTCGTCGCTACTGTCGATGTAGATCTACGTCCTGTAAGAAGAGGTCGTTGTGGCCGTAGGGAGAATGACACAGCGCGTGGACCATGGCATGCATGTTTGCTAGACTCTCGCAGTCCCACTACACTACACTCTACATACACTACACTGACACATGCATGTAGCATGCACTGGACAAGGAAAAGCCAGTTCCGTGAATAGAATGAACTCTACTCTCTACTCAGCTCTGCATTGTGCAGGAAAGCCTGGTAAGAACGCGAGGAATGCGAGGAATGATGTATGACAGGTCGACTACACGACTGCTAATCACTGCCCTCTCACAATCAGCGCCTGCGAGTAGAACACGACTTGAGTGTGAAATTATGTAACTCGGTGTACGGGGCCGTATGAATGTTCAAGTGAGCCGACATCAGCGCACTTGGTCGAGCCCGTGAACTAAACAAATCCCAGTACAGGATGTAATTGTTGTCGTGCTGTTGACGGCGATTTTCATGTCGTAAATTAACGCTTCGTGCTGTGCCGACTCGACCTAGACGCTTCTGGCATAAGGTTGTCGGCAGGTGATGTTGCAGCCTAAAGGTATCTTTGTCAACAAGCGCTAGGATTTCAGTGCGCAGATTGTGGGCACCTGGCTGCATGGAGAGCGGGGGCACAGGGTTCGCTCTTCCAGGAAATGAAACAGCAATACTAATAGCCACACCGATTGCTGCATGAGACGCTTCAGAGTTGAAATTCAATACAATCGATACAGCAGTTGGAGGAGGTGGCTAGTGAAGTGCAGCGGAGGTGATGGCCAACAGCAACCCACCTCGACTAATTCCCGTCAGCCATCTAGCGGGCAATGAAAGCTCATCATCTAGCGACGATTACATAATTTGTGCTGGCGATGGCGATGGAAGTGATGGCGCTACTCGCAATGCGACTGGACACAAATCGTTCCCGACGCAATCCGCTCACGTGTCCTCAGAAAAGAGCAGAATGGCGGAAAGAGGCAACCCGTCGGGTTCCGGACTTCGTGATCCGAGAAAGCTCATTGAAAACGGCGTGACGGCGGACTGCATCCGATCTTCTGCTGCAGCGCACTCGCATACATCCTCCGCAGGTCAAGGGCGTGATGGTGCCCCTGCTGGGAACGGGCACAGCGGTCTCCAGTTTGCACAGCGTGACATTGTCACACAGGATGCAGCGGCGGTCAACAGCGGGCATTCTCCGCCCTACGATAAAAACGGTGATTCCGTGCCCCAGCCAGCCACCACAACAGCATGGCAGAACTATGATGAGGAAGGTAAGTAAGCAATCATTCATTATCAGCAACTACGAGATGCCAGTACATAATCTAGTCATTGTCTTCCACCACAGCTCATGTATCCCCACTGTTGTTGCCTACAGTGACTACTGTCCCAACCAGGGGATTATGGTTACGGCTTTGACACGCGAGTACAGTACCCCCCCCCCCCCCCCCCCCGGACGGAATATCCACAGGAGCAGGGCACAGTACCCATTGTAGTAAGGAGCAGGGTGCAGCAACTGGGCCAGCAGGGTACAGTACCCATTATAGTAATGGGCAGGGCACACTGCCACAGTACCCCCCCCCCCCCCCCCCCCGGCACGAGATGTAATATCCACGGCCACAGGGCACAGTAGTACAGTACCCATTGCAGTAAGGGGGAGGGGGGGGGGCACAGTACCCGGGGCAGGGCACATGCAGTACCCCAGGTACATGAAGTAGGGCATATTGCATGTGGTAGCAGGGTGCAATACCCCTCCAGCAGGGTGAAGTCTCCCTCCAGCAGACGGCAGGGCACAATACCCATAGGCAGATACATGCACAGCCCTGCTCAATGAAATCCAGTCGTGTCACTCAAGTTTGCGTCTTGCATCGTTTCGCAGCCCAGTGTTCGCAGGCCTGTGCAACGCCCGGCACGTACTTGAGCGACTTACGGTGACTGGATTTCATTGAGCAACACTGTACGTGGACTTGTAGTAATTCTATCATTGCTGTCATATGAATGGATGTGCCTGGCGCGGAAATTTTGGATACAATTTTACGTCAACTTGTGTAGCTCAGAGATGGGTAAAATTGTGGTTGCGCAATGGTCATGTTCTTATGCTGTTTGTGTGTACTTCAGATGGAATGACTGAAGAATCGGTCGAGGGCATCTGGTCGCAAGATATCGAGCAGGCGTTCCAGGAAGCTCTCAGTATCTACCCGCCGTGTGGACGGCAGAAGATCATCCTTTCCGACGAAGGCAAGATGTATGGTGAGTTGAATGTGTGGATGTGTGCCGGATGTTGGGGGGGGGGGGGGAGGGGGGGGTGTGTGAAAT